GTGCCAGCTGGGCTTGCTGGCTCCCTTTATGGGCTCATGAGAGTGAGGAGTCTCCATGGTTCTTGCTCCTGGAGGAATGAAATGAGTGGGAATTCAGGATTCTGCAGACCTGGCTGTGAACTGCTTTTTTCTCCCCAGAAATGCCGCTCTTTGCACTGTGGGGTCACCAGTGGCAGCTCAGYGGGTTTGAGTAGCTGTGGCAGGTCTTGAGGGAGGACCAAACAGTGTTTTGGATCTCTTCTGACTCACAAATTCCCTCAGTGAGGGCGAGGATCCCTGCTTGGCCCTCCTGCGCTCCAGCCCAGCTTTCTCCCATGTGGCAAATCTCCTGGAAGTAGCTCCTGGACCACRTTAATCCCCTTAATCCTTCCTGCAGCCATTCCCTGCTGCTGATCAGGCGCTGAAGRACTTCCTGACACATTTCTGAGATGCTGCAGTTGGCTGCAGAGGGATCCCAGCTCCCTAGAGCGAGGGGAGGAACTCTGACTTGCTTTGTGTCTCCGCCTTCCACACCTTCTGCTGTAAAGCTTTCACCTTGCAGGCCTGACTGAAGGATAAGGAGAGAGTCCTGACTGCTCTCAAATCTTCACAGATTTGAGATCTGAATTTCCAGCCTTGCAGCAAGGAATTCCCCCTCTTTGCAAAAAACTTCCCTTCCCCACCATCGGAGCTGTGCTTCCACCTGCCCTGAGGAGATGCTGCAGCAGGAGGAGTTTAGACTCCTCCTTTAGGAATTTAGGGGTTTTAGACTCTGCTGTGGGGATCTCAGCTCTGGGACCCCACAAGTTCTGTTGATAAAGGCTTTTGTGTCCCCTTTCTGTGCTTCTCCCCCACCACATTTCTTGGTTTGAAAGGCAGGTGTTTGCCAATGAAGGCAGGGACTTCTTTTGGAACAGCGAATGTGACTCTTCTTTCTTCCAAATTATTTGGAAGGTAATTATTATTATTATTATTATTTATAACTTTGAAATTATAGGGCTTTCAGGCAAAGATGGGAAAAAAAGAATGACTTTTTTTTTACTAGTTTGTGTAACAAGTAAACAAGCAACAACAATGATAGCAACAACAACCAAACCACAAATCTGGCGACTCTGGGCTGTCACAACCTCACGTCTCCTAAAGTGCTTTTTGTGGTTTTTCTCTGACCTTTAGCTTATCTCATTGGGGAGAAGAGCAAACCCTGAGCTCAGCACGCAAAATCATGAAATGGTGTGGGTTGGAAAGGGCCTCAAAATGGTTGGAAAGGGCCTCAAAACCCTTCTCAGACATGGACAGGGACATCTTCCACTCGATCAGGTTGTCCCAAGYCCCGTCCAACCTTGCTTTGGACACTTCCAGGGATGGGAAGCTTCTCTGGGCACCRTGTGCCAGYACCTCCCCACCCTCRTTGTAAAAACCACCTTCCTTATRTAAACTATAAAATTCTTCTGACATGTGGGAAGATGATTTTTGCTCAGCTCTGTCCTGAAAAAAAACCCTGAGTGGACTCAGGAGCACACACAAACACACACACACAGCTCCTGAGCTGCATTTATCCTCCAAAGTGACAGTTTTCTATTAGAGAGCTGCAGCCCAGCACGATGATTATAATTGTCACTAATTTCTTTCTTGAGCAATCAGGTTTGCACCTCGACACAGTGGCATAAAATGAGGCAGATTCCCCCCATTCAAGGCAAGGTTTGCTCTCCAAATGTTTGTAAACCCCCCAATTTCTTTTGGGGAAGCTGGTGCTGTCTCTGTGGGGATGCCAAGTTTTGGTTTGTGGTGGGAAAGGGACAATATTAATAACACAACAAAGCAGGGACTGGGAATGCCTGGTGCAAACCCCTCCTGGGCAGGCAAATCCCAAACTTGCTCTAAAGAAGGTTGGGATGGAATTCTCTTCACTGCTTTTGGTTTGGGCTGGASCATCCCAGTGCACAGAGCCTTCCTGGGCACAGCTTCATGCTGGTGTCCTTGGCAAGGGGAACCTTTTTCTTTTCAGGCTTTTCCCAATAAACCCATTAAATTAAATGGGATGGGGATAGAACGGCAGGAAGGCAATGTGGGATGAGTGAAAAGTGGCTGTGGGGCTCGTGAGGGTTCAGAGAGGGGGGCGAGACATGCTCCTGGATTGCTCCTGCATTTCTATCAGGGTCATGAGAGGAGAATTTGGCCCTCTTATTTATTTATTTATTTATTTTTAGCTTAAGCCTCTGAAGAGAGTGCTGCAGAGATTCCCAGGGGGTATTGGTTGGCAGAGGTCCCATGATACCCTCAAAAATAGCCCCCCAAACAGAAATAACTCAGTAAAACAAAGCAGTGGATTGTTCAGCCAACTAAAATTACCAGCATGTCAAATAAAATATGTACAGCATTAAAATAAAATTTGCATTGCAATAATGCTTTATTAAGCACATTAGGAGATTAAAAGAATCAACCCATTTGTTCCC